AAGGACGTCGTTTATATAAATAAAATTCATTTAGAAAACACCTTCTCTGAATAGCGCAGAATATAATAAGCTTTTCACTGAATAGCAATTAATCTTCAATCAAAGAACAGCAACCGAATAAACCGACGCCGAAAACCCGAATGTCGAATGAATGCAAATCCGACATTTCAGGTGACACGGCCTAATGCAGACAAAACGAGACTGCCGAGTTAGATTTGGTTGAATAATATTTAATGAAATAATAGTCGATTATGTGTTGAACAAATAACGATAAAAAAATCAATCTGTTGTAACATAATCGTTTTGAGATGTAAATTTTCTACTTTAATTTTCCTCGGCTTTCATTTTTCAAAGATTTTTCTCACGTAGTAGGTGGAAATATGAAGATACTTTCTCTTTGATAATTATCAAAATTCAAATTATATAACTGCCTCTGAAAACATTTTTTTCATGAGGTCCATTAACAATTTTACTAAAGTAAATCACTTTACAATGATTCCTCGAAACTTGCTACAATGTATGACTTTTTTTTTACCATTTTTTTACCATTCTTTGAGCGTTAGAAGAGTAGAAGAAATTTCTCGAATTTTTGTTGTCTAACTCAAACGGCGAGAGAAAAAATATTACAGATTTCGAGGGCTCGTTGTAAAAGAGAACTTTCAACCTGCAAAATTGTAATGGATCTATGTATAAAGTTATGAAAACTATATAATTATACAAAGCTATATATATAATTCTTTTAATACTTTCACTAATCATTGATATGTACACGTTTCTCGCATGCACGCGTACAATCAACTTTATTTAAAAAATATTTCAACCATCTCTCTGTACATTAAACATACATTAAACTCTGTAACTAAACTAACATAATTTTTTAGCTATTCATTAAACATGCATTACATAATTTTTTAGCTCTGTACATTAAACATACATTAACTAAACTATTTATATCATAATTAAAAAAAAAATTCACATCCACTCATTGCAAATTGCAAAAAAATGAAAAAAAAAAAAAAAAAAAAAAAAACGTTCCTGAACAACGAACGTGTCAACGCGTGTCTCAAACATTTGGACTTTAAACCTGGATTTTCGCAAGGAAATCTCCGCCGAGAAACGAGACTCGAGAAGGAATAATTAAAGAGCCGGGCGATCGGCGGCGAATCGTTTCGAATATTCGTTCGTGGAATTGTGCGGCTGTGGAATTTCCGGCGAAATTTCGTTAGTTATTGCATTGCGGTTTGTTTCGAGAGAATCGACGGCGCGCTCGCGTTTCTAATGAACAGGAGCCGGCCGGCATTAAAAGCACGTTAAGGAACTCGGCGGGCCATCGATTTTCGATTACAGAAATTGCCGGAGAAAATATCGTTACGTTGCAAGAAATATTGACCGACGAGCACCGACAAACCAGCCGGGGGGCGAGCTTCCATCGATAAACAATGCTGCCGACGCCCTCTCGGCGAAATCATGCGACCTGTTTCACTATTATAAACCGTCGAAATTATTCTCTACAGGTTTACGATTGGAATTTCATTTACCTTTGAAAGCAAGAGGAAAACACTGTCAGCTAATTGTTGCTTCAATTAAGGATCTGGCGATTAATTGCTGCAAATATGTCAGTTAGTATTTTTGTGACATTTTGCGTTACATTGAATGCACTATAGTTGGATATTTTGAACGTTTGAAGAGTTTACAATTTGCTTGGAATTCATTTTAAATTAATAATTGTTTGTAAATAAGTCATTTGGTATACTGATGAAATGTGATACTTTCGAAATGTGGATATTTTGGATTGAGAAGCTTCCAACTTTTAAGGATCTTTATACTTTAAGTGATCAGACATTGGAGTTCGTTTTAAATTAACAATTGTTGTCAATGAGTCATTTGGTATTGTTGTGCGAAGCAACATATTCCGAAATGTAAATATTTAAAGGATTAAGAAGTTTTTCTTTCAACTTTAGCCTTTAAATGGTCTATCTTAAATTAAGCAACTGTTGTTTAAATTGATAAGTTATTTTGTAACAGTATATTGACGAAATATAGTAGTGAAACAACAGATACTTTTAAAATGTGAATATTCCGACACTTAAAGAGTCAAAGAGTTTCCAATTTTGGCCTTCAAGTGGATTGGGATTCATTTTAAATTAATAATTATTGTAAATAATTTTTGTAACATTTTGTATTGACGAAATACAATAGTGAAGCGATACTTTCAAAAATATGGACACTATGGATATTCAAAGAGTTGAAGAGCTTCCAGCTTTAACCTTCAAGTGGATCATTGGGGACCATTTCAAATTATACATAATTATACTACGAGTTGATGTGATTATTTGAACATTTACATAATCTTCTGTTACTTTTTCTGTCTTTTTTTTTTTTTTTCTTTTACTACTTTTCATCACTGCAAAGAAACATTTATTTCCGCTTGCGGCAATTAAACATAAATCCGAGCTATCAAAACTGAACTGAAAAATCCACTCGAAGATCAGCTATGTCAACATTTTCCATCAGACCCTGAACATTCGAGCAATAAGGGTTTTTTCCCACTCGAAATTCCCTTTCGACAAAAAAAATTTTTCTTTTTTTTCGTTTCCAATCAAACGCGACTGTTCGAAACCAGTCGAAAACATCGAATAGTTTTCAGTTGAAATCACTAATTTTATTTTCCCACGTGTGTCAAACAAATACACAATAGCATTTCATACCTCAGGGGTCCCAATATTTTCGAATATTTGCGTACGAAGCGAAACATTTTTCGCCAGAGGCGGTATCTCTATCGATTTCTCTGCACTACGCGCGTCTTTTCGAGTTTCTCTCTCTTTCTCTTTCCTTTCTCTTTTTCTGTATATTCTTCTTCATGTCTTTTCATTAAAAGATGATTAATGTAAATTTCGCAATCGCGTCGGGCGAATATCGAATATCGAATATCGCGGCCCGATTTCCCCGATCTGCTGTTCGCGGATTAACCAACAAACCGTTCTTCACCGATGGACATTCGCACGAATATTCCTCGTCGCAATCGCGCGTTAGCCAATTTTCATTTTAATCGTCGTCTGCGTCAGAATAACGCGCCGCGGCGCTAAACAATTACGGGCAGTTGCGACTCCACCAGCGCGCTCGGATTAAATTCTTGGATATTGCTCATTAATTGGCAGCCGCGGATTTCCATTTAATTTCACCGTGATTTCAGCGGGGATGGATATGCACTTGGAGCGGCGAGAATCGGGGGGTACGAAGAATCTTGGAAGCCGCGAACACGCCAGAATCCGCAGCGTATCCCGTTCGTAATATCTGCTCGAACGTTTACGACGCAGTAAATGCTCCCACGAGAGATGTACGATAGCTTCGAGATTAGAAAGAGATTCTTGCGAATTTCGCTAACGAGTTGACGAGTTGGTCGAGAGCCAAATACGGAATTGGAAAGGCACCCGTGACCGAGACGGGTATTTCGATCGAATGTCGACGCGAATGTGTTCGCGGGCTGTTTCGAGAAATATTGAGAGTACACGTGGTAAAATATTATTCAAGAATATTGAATCACTACTGTGTTTGGTAATTATTATTTACAATGGAAACACAAACTCTTCTCGCGAAAACAAATAAACTATTCAAATATATTCAATTGGACAGTGTACAGCAATGAATATCCCATGTTCCTATATTCAACTGTACACAGATTCTATCCTGACGTATACATTTTACATTTCACAAGGACTTCACATCATTAAAAAAAAAATAAGTATCGTCACTCTGAATAAATAAATAAATAAATACATAATAATGTATACAATAATATATATATATATAATGTATATTAAATAATAAATATATATGTAATAAATAATTTATATTAAATAAAAAATATATATGTAATAAATAATAAATATATTATATACATAATATATAATAATATATAAATAATATAAATAATATATATAATATATATTAAATAATAAATATATATGATAAATAATATAATATAAAAAATATACATAATATATATTAAATAATAAATATATATAAATAATATATAAATAATATACATAATATATATTAATATAAAAATAATATAAATAAGATATATAATATATATTAAATAATAAATATATATGATAAATAATATAATATGAATAATATACATAATACATATTAAATAATAAATATATATAAATAATATATACAAAATAAATAAATAACAAGTACAAAATCACATGTAAAAAAAATTTGACCACACCTGGAAATCTCCACCGTTATTTTACGAAGACAAAAAAATATGGTCAGATAATGCCCCCAGTAATTTCTGTGAGAACATGGCGAACCCCTTTGGATAAAAATAATCTATTAAATACCAATGAATTCTCAATGAAAATTTCGAACACCCTCGACTGCATGCGTTTGATTTTCGGTCCTTCGGGGGGAGCGTACGTTGTCTCCACCTCGCTGATAATTTGTTTAATTGAATGGCAGACGCGGGTATATACGGAGGCAAGTGCCCTTGCAAACGGTATGCAAGTGTAATACAATGTCAAGTTTCGCAGCAATTATCTTAATTGTCCCAATTAATTGTCGCAAACGCGGCGGTAGGGGAACGGGGAGTAATTGCGATTCGCGCGCGAGCGCGAAACGTGGGGAGATTTTTGAATCGAGAAATTTGAGAGAACGTTAAACGAAAAGAGAAATGAAGTAAATATTAATCACCAGATTTCCAAAAGAAGGATCTCGCAAGTTGTTGGCGAGATCGCGAAAACGAGGGAGAAGACACGCCAGAAAGAGAGAGAGAGAGAGAGAGAGAGAGAGAGAGAGAGAGAGAGAGAGAGAGAGAGAGAAAGAATCGAAGTGAAGAGACAAGGTACGCGGCGAGGAAAAAGAAAGGAGGTCGAGGAAGGTTGGAGACAAAGGGCGAGACAGAGCGACGTGTCTGGATGCTGTACGTCCGCTGGAATACAAATTTCGCGACGGTTCGTTAGAGACAAGAAAAGGGACCGTGTCCCGTGTACCTTGAGAGCAGCGGGCCACGCTTCGTTACTCATTCGTCGAGTGGTCCTGAAACAAAAACGGCAACGGATGCAATTAGACACAATGCGATCTCGTCCACCCACTGCTACATATATAAATATTATATAAATATGTGTGTGTGTGTGTGTGTGTGTGTGTTACGCGTGATCGTTGCAGCGAAAGGACAAGGAAAAGAGGATCCACCGCTGCCTCAAGTCGAATTTCCCGTTGAATTCGCGAGAGATTCGTAACATTATATCGCGGTCTACTCCCATTTACGCACCCTCGAGGAATCCATTCCCGACTTTCACTCCGTCCCCGAATTATGCAACAGACGAGACCTCGTTTGTCACGGTTTGTTGTGCACCGTCGTTTTCCAAACCCCGAGTCTCTTCACGGTTCGCGAAGACGAATCGACTCGGACTAACCCCCTCGAAAATGTCCCTCGATTTTGTGGCAAATTCGCGTGTGCGAGATTTCCTTCGGGAAAGGCCGCGGACGATTTCAAACGCGAGCTTTGACAATGATTCGAAAAAAGGGCAGCCACCTATCTCCGGAAGGTTCTCGTTCTAAAAGGGACGATATCTCGCTTCCCCCGCGGGGGCGAAGTTCGCTCGACAAAAAGTTGTTCCCGTTTGAAACGCGGCCCACGTTTCCCGCCCGGCGACAGGATTTCCAAGCCTGAGAGAAACACGTTCCCTTTTCAGCGTTCCGCCGCGTCGCCGGCCTGCACTTTCGCGCCGTTTTCACGCTTCTAAATCAATTTCACTTTTGCGCCGGTTCTCCTCGACTCGCCGGAGTTAATTGTTACAAAAATTGCTGCCTAGACGAAGAACGCTGCCTGAGATCCGCTGCAAGCTTCTAACGAGCGCGGTTCTCCTCGTTTCAGACTCGTAACTGCGTACGCGAATTTTGCCCAATTTTTACGATCCCCTACGCGATCCCTCTTGTGCATTCGAATCTTTCAACTCGGCACGCTCCCGAGGACCCTATCCACTTTGCTGTACCGGCGACGAGACAAAGAACTGAAAAGTTGGGAACAGAGCCGAGACGGATCGATCGAGGTGACTTTTCGCGAGTGCATGGCTCCTGTCCAGAGAACGTACCATGATGCATCGCGGCTCGTCTCTGGGGCTATCGACCGATATTACCCAAACTTCGTGGCTAAACAAGAAACGATTATGAGCCTCTCGCAAGCCCGGCGAAATCAAGCTCCCGTTCTTATGTTTCTTGCTTGCCGCGGTCACCGCGTGCCATTTTGCCAAAAATTCCTTTGGCACGGGGAATCTCCGAGCGTTAGAAACCGGCGATCTTTAATTTTCAATTCGACCGAGTATGTCTCGTGTTTACTGAAGGATGGTTGAAACTTGAGCTGATGATTAACAAGGAAGGCAGTATCGAGAAACGATCGATGACACTTGTTTCAGTTCGGAGAATATTGGAACGTCTCGGTCTTTGATTGCATGTTCTTGTTAGCTAAAATCGCTACTAAATGATAAAGACAATATTGAAACACGATACGTCGTAATTCAGAGAGTTCGGCGAACGATTTTTGGCCTTGTAGAGCATGTTTTATTTTCGGATGTTACAAGTGGACGATTTTTAATTTTCAATTAACAAAATATGTTAATTTAACTGTATAGTATACCATAAGTTTATTTGACGAGTAATGAGTTAACGACCAATGATACTTCTTTCAGTTCAGAGAATTTTGGAATGTTTCAGGTGGATCATTTTTAGTCTCTAATTAAACGAAGCATGTACCATTACCTTAATTTATTAAATTAAGTTATTAAAATCAATTGATAATGACGATATTGAGGATTTCTTCTAATTCAGAAGATAACTAAACATTTGAACAATGATTGAACAAAACGTGTTGTTTCGTGTACAAGCACAGCTTAACCTGACGACGACAATGAAAAAAGACAATATTAAGAAATGGCTGACAATATATTCAGAGAATCATTAAATATCGCGTATAAGCAATTTTTAATATGCAACACATAGGCTGAAGATCGTTTCACTTTTCAAAAATATACAAGGTGTCTTATAATTTTGTCCATCAGCAACGTAACCCATATCTCAAGTTAGACTCTTCTTCTTCGTTTATAAATTTTGCTGCAGGGCTGAATAAATAGAACAACGAAATCGCGAAGACAACGATTTCTATCGACGTCGTAACGATCGTTTCGCTGTTCAAATCGATGCGGGCGCGAACGAAGGGGCCAACGGTTATAATGCGTTACAACGTAATCCCTCGGACGAGAAACGAGTAAAATATCGGGAAAGAACGAGTGGTTAATTCTATTAGAAAACCGCGGTCGGAGGATCCGGCGCGAGAGAGAAAAAAACGGGCGAAAAAGAGGCTAACAGGGATAAGAGTTCGAAGCGGTGGTGGGAGGGTGAAATTTGCTAAATTTAATTCGGTCATTAAAGTTGCGGCAAAGTTTCGCGGTTATTACGAACAAATGCAATTTACGACCGGGAAAGAGTTAACCACCGATATTAAATACGCTCGCCAACCGGTAGAAGAAACTGCCTGGCCACGCGCGCGGCAAAAAAGACAAATATATATATATCCCAGCAATGGGAGAGAGAGTTCGCGTTTTTTACGCGGACGATATCATATCTAGGAACAGGTTTCGCGCTTTCGTAATTTGTTTTCTTTCTTTTTGTGCTTCGCTCGGCTCGCGAATGGAAATTTTATCTAGAGCCAAGAGAAAGAGGGTGAGTTCGGGATCGAAGATACTTGAAAAAATACAAATCGTGTTACGACATTCAGCTGGCGATGCCGGTGGAATTTACTCGCGTCGAACGGTTCGAGATCAAAGTCGTCGCGGAGAATCGTGGACTGGAAGGAGTCTGTTTCATAGAAATATCAGTCGACGGGAGTCGGTAAATATTCGTATGGATTTTCGACGAAACGTTTCGCTAAAAAATTCCAACGTCCCTGTTACCATACGCGCACCTGTCGTATCGCCCGGGACGCTAATAAAACACGACGAATCCTGCAAAATCCCCTGACTTTTCCGCGAAAATCCGACACGGAATATAAAAGAAAGAAATCGCCACATTCTTAAATTTCTTTCGATAGAACAGGTTTCCCACGAAATCTGTATCTTTGAGATTTTTGTTTCTGATCGTCAGTCTCTGTTCAAGACTCGTGATCATGCTGGTGCACGTTCGAGCGTCGAAATTATGGATATTCGAAGTATTAAATATCTTTGTTTCAATAAATTATAAATTTATAACAAATGTATGTATAAATTTTTATTATTCAGTATTTATTATCTTAAATTTTTAATATATATATATTTTATATATATATTTTTCAATTTTTGTTTACATTTTTATTGATAATTTTTATTTTTGTAGTATCTTTGTTCCAATAAATTATTAATTTATAATAAGTTTTTATAATCTAGCATTTATTATTATAAATTTTTTATCATTGTAGTATCTTTGTTCCAATAAATTATAAATTTATAATAAATATATAAATTTTTATAATTTAATGCCATTGTACACACTTTTGTCTGAACACTGTTTTCTGTCTCTACTCACAGCTGTTCAATTATGACAACATTGACTAGTTTCGCCCCGCAGAGAGTCAGTTCAGAGGATCGTTTACAGAATCAAGATCTTTCAGTTAATCCAACCGAAGCAATAAACTGTAAACTTTTTAAATCGTCCATGGCCGAATGATTTGGAGAATGATTTAGCCTAAAATATTCACAGTCTGAAACGTCGACAGTCTGGTGCGTCTCGAGGTTTCTTTTCGATCGGTATGGGATCAGCGAGCAGCCGATTCCCCTCGACAGGAAGTACGGATCGAGGTATTTCAGTTCCCCGCGTTTGATCGCCGGACAGCAGGTATCGATCGTCGAATTTTCGCGTAGTAACGAGACTCGCGCCGGATAAAGAGGAGAGGAGAACTGGCTGCGTCTCGCATGGACGCACCGGTTGGTCCCAATTGGATGCAGCCGTACGTCGACTGGCTTCATTAAAAGCTTCTCGCTGGCGCGCGGTGAAAATTTTTTCCCTCTCCTTCTCTCTCTCTCTCTCTCTCTCTCTCTCTCTGTTCTTTTCTTTTCATTTTCGCCGACGCGACCGCACTGCCGGCAAACTCGACGCGAGCAGGAGGGACATTGTTAATTAGAAGCGCGCCCGCGCGCGAAGAAGGGCGAAACGACGAGCGAGAAACGAGAAGCGGAAGAGAATGCCGTGGCGCGCGAGCTTTTTTTTAAAAAAAAAAAGGCCACGCTTCAACGCACGCGACGCGAACTCGCGATGAAGCACGACGGATCAGCGTGAATCGCGCGCAAGGTATCCAGGCTCATCTCCCGACCAATACGATGGAAAATGGTCTCCAAGCTACCGAGCGATTACCTATGCGAATGCGAGCTCGCGTAAATCGCGTAGCTTCTCTGTTAAATCTCTTGACTCGTGGCGTATTTAGGAGCAACAGGTTTGTTGTTGAGGAAACAAACTCTTTGTTGCGTGTGTCAAGAATGTACAATTGTATTACGTTGTTCGGAAAGTAATTTCGTTTCTAGCTGCGTTTTTTAGCCAGTCAACTTCGTTCTAAATCATATTATTATATTATATATATAATATCATTAATAATATATAATATAACGTCATTATATTATATATTTATAGTTATAATATACATATATATAATATTTATAATATTCATACTTATAATATTTATATTTATAATATTCATATCTATAATATTTATATTTATAATATTCATATTTATAATATTTATATTTATAATATTCATATTTATAATATTTATATTTATAATATTCGTATTTATAATATTCATATTTACAATATATATAATATATAATATTTATAATATTATAAGTATTATATAATATATAATACTTATAATATTTATATTTATATAATATTTGTAATGTTTATAGTATATTTATATTTATATATATATTATTTATAATATATTTATAATAAAATGTCATCGTATTATATAATTTGATAGGTGACACTTCAAGGTTTAATTAACAATCAAAAATCTTTTTGATTCCAATGAAACGGAAGAAATTTCTTTCCTTCCCCTAACCTTCACCTTTGCAACGTTACCTGGATAGTCTGCCCCCTACACGCTACAATCGCAGCGTTGACGCCTTCAAATTTCTAATTAAAGATCGCGCGATATTCCCGTTGGGATTCGACGTAACGACTTATCCCGCTGGCCGATCTCTGTCGCCGGATGTTCCACGAGCATATCCACGCTGCCTACTTCCACATCTCCCTGTTTTACAGCCGACGATACTACGCGCCGATACTATCCGAAACGAAATCGTATCGCGGCGCGGCGTTACAAAGAGGATTTCCGTGGATGATATCTGCGGATGGAAATGACCCCGTGAGACGACGAGAGAGAGAGAGAGAGAGCCGCAGTTCCCTATCTCCACCCGGTTTCATCCCGCATTCGGCCGCATTTACGAGGATTTCAATGCCCGGCGATAGCTAGGGAACGGTGGTTGGGAAAAGCTGTGCCACGCGCAAATGATTTCGGGTATTAATATTATTAGGAATGCCGGGGGGTCGTCGGTGGTTGCAGCTAACCACCCCCCCTCTCCCCCAGGTTCTTCCATCTGCCGCTCGGCCGGAATGCCAACGATATCGCAGGGGGCGGCGGCGATTGCGATCTCCGCGGACAATTTTGGATATTGGGCTTGCGCTAGTGGCATTTAGATTCCTCCCCATACCCGCCCGACAGGAATTTGAATGCTAACGACAGCGACGCGCTCCATCTCCGACATTAAAATCGTTAACTTCCCTCTTCAATCGTATTCTCTCTCTCTCTCTCTCTTTTTCATACACAGACACACACACACTTGTCTCTGTGCACGCGGGTCGTATGAATAATTCGGGGAGCGCGAACGTTGCCGAAAAAGAAAAAAAAAGAAGAAGAGAGAGATAAAACCGTGCCCCCCCACGTCCTCCGATCTCCGGAGAGCTTGCAGAAGCGAGAATTCTCGATCTGTTCGCCGAGAATTCTCCGTGAATGCATTTATTTATGAACTTTACGCGTGAGAGAGAGTTGCTCCGGCGAGCATCGACGTGCCACTCTCGTCCCGGGGAAAAACTTTTGTCTCGCGCCGCGCCCATCGAGACCGCGGCTGCAGTCAGATTTAAAGTAGAATTTCCTATGAGTGTCAGACGCACGACACGGAGAATGCACGTTACCGATAATGGTAATTTATTTGCAAACACTACCGTTCTACTACGGCTTTCCTGTCGCGAACTCACAATTAAATCGGTGTCACGTTGCAATTACTACATTCACTTCTCGTGTATATATATATGCTTTCTTTAACGATTAATCTCTGAAAAACATTTTCATTACATTGCGGATGGTACATCAATTTATTTAAATTTTAGAGTACTTTTTTGTTTGGTTGACGCAATGGAACAATGTGATATTCCTGTAAAAATTCTGTAAGAATTTGTATAACATTCTACAATATGTCATGTAACTTGAAAATTACGTACTAGTGTACGTTCGTCAACGATTGTTTTTAATAACGTTCAAATTTTCAATTCAATCCTGTAAAATTTCGTTTATTCACGAGGGGAAAATGTCGTTTGAAATTAGAAATCGTTCACCTGTAATATCTCAGAGATATCCTAAACTAAAGGACGTGTAGTAGGCAATATAAAAGAAAATACGTACGATGTAATATGCAAAATGTACATTAAAAAAAATGTAAATAAATAAAATACATATAAAGAACGAGGATACGATCAACTAACGATCAGATCTTCAATTGGAGTAAATAGTTGTAATTATCTGAGCCAGAATTTCATTTTACTTACAGGAGGAATCCCTATCGTACTAAAAATCGTCCAATCTGTGATATTTGAGAATATCTCGACCAAAAAACGTATATAATATAAAATAAATAAATATACATATATAATATATAATATTTATTTATGTTATACAAATATACAACGTAAATAAAAATATGCAAGAGGGATTCATAATTTCTCAATATACCACTCGAAACTAGTCTCTGAAAAAAGATTTCGATTACATTGCGGATGGTACATCAATTTATTAATTTATTTAAACTTTAGAGCACTTTTTTGTTTGATTGACGCAATGGAACAATGTGATATTCCTGTAGAAATTCTGTAAGAATTTGTATAACATTCTACAATATGTCATGTAACTTGAAAATTACGTGTTCATACTAATGTAACGTTTGTCAACGATCAAATTTTCAACTGGATGAACAATCATTTCCAATAACGTTCAAATTTTATAATATAACATTTATTTATATTACACAAATATATAACGTAAATAAAAATATGCAAGAGGGATTCATAATTTCTCAATATATCACTCGAAACTAATCTCTGGTTTGCATGGTATTCGCGCGGAACAGTCCCGTCCGGATCGTTGGAATAAATTGCAACTCCAAGCTTCCAGAAGACTCTTCTTTTTTTACCTTTCTTTATCATTCCCTTTTTCCATCCACTTTCATCTTATTTCCTCCTCGGCCCTTAGATTATCGCAGGGGCTGGTAATTACTCATGAATAAATAAATTTCATCGCGTTTCCCACGGGGCGACTTTCACCATCGCCGAGAAAATTAGCGGGACAAGGTATCGCGGATAGCAGCAACACGTTCACTCGATATCCGAAGCAAAGACCAACTTGCGAGCTCGCTTCAGAAGCGATCAGCCGTGTTCTTCCGACACACACACATACACACACAAGCCGTCCCTCTGGTTCTTGCCGCCGCTTGTCAGATCCAGACTCGCATTAATCACTCACTCGGCCTGAGCCAGTGGATAGAACGAACCTCCCCGTCTTGAACTCTCCCCGCGGTGCGTTTCCGACACGCGGAAATTCTTACACACTGCGAAAAGAAGACTCTCCTTGCAGTGTCCCGGAGAAATTGGCCTTTCTCTGGACAGGAGCAGGAGGACTGGGCGCGACGCATCGCGGATAATAAAGAACCCTCTCGTTCGCTGTTCGCTGATCGGGCGACGATCGAAAACAAAAGGGAACACCGCGCGAGGAATAAAAGAAAAAAAGAAAAAAAAAAGGGAGAAAAAGAGAGAGAGAGAGAGAGAGAGAGAGAAAGAGAAAAAAGAACGGAGCCGTGAATCTCCGCCGCTTTCGGAGCTCGCGATTATTTTCCGCCGTGGAGTGGTAGATCGAACGCGGGCGGGAGGAAAGGGTGAATCAAAGGGCGCGGAAGAGAGAGAGAGAGGGGGAGGGGGGGGAGCAGGGTGGAACAAAAGGAATCGGCGCCGAGGGATCAGTGCTCTTTATTTCCGGGAACGAACGACGGGTCGCCGCGTTATTATCAGATGGCGGCAGCCGGGCGTAGACGCGGATCGACGCTCTGCGAGAGCGGACGGTCCCGACCAGCCGGCAAGGGTTTAACCGGGTGAGAAGGGAATTAGGGACACGGCTCCCGGTGAAAAACTAGAAAGTGCTACCGGGGTTGAAAGAGCTGCGCCCGAGCACGAGACAAAGAAACGGTGGAGAGGCTCGATTAAATAACAGAAAGCGTGACAAGCGAAGGAGAAAAAGGGGGAGAGGGGGGGGAGAGAGTCGAGAGAAGCTAGGTGGAAATACGGGTGGGACAAATGGGACGACGAGGAATCGGGGAGGGGCGGAGAGGGATGGAAAGAGACGATGAGAAAGGAAAGACGTGGCGAAAAGGGCAGGTGATGCGATGAAATCGGGGCCAGGTCGGTAGCGGGGAAATGAAGTTATGGGAACGGCGGGGAAAATGGTAGATTCTTACTCCGTGCGTACGCGTTTTCGCGATCAATTCGCCGCTGCGTTTCAAACCCTGTTGCGCCAGCAAGTGATTCGCGGACCATAACGAGTGACCAAAGTCCGAGTGTACAATAATTCGTCTTCGTTTTGAATTCATCGGTACGTCGCTATTTGTTTCGCCTGGGTTATATTTCAATATAATCGAAACTAAGAAAATATATTGCAATTTAGGGTGAAATATTCTCGACGTGAGTGGCAAGAGATTAAAGAAACATAGATTTGGTACGAGAGGTTTGTAACCAAACGAAAATTGAAACCAATCTAACGTATCTGTTTTATTTTGTATTTTGTCTGCTATCGTAGTTACTATATTCATTTACTTTCTATATTCGTATCAATTCGTTCAATCATCTATATGTATCTTCGTTACTTTCATCTATTACCACGATTACTATATTCTTCTATCTGTCATTTATCTTACTAATGATTATATTCATCTATTAGCATCTTATTTATCTCTATCTTATTTATCTCTATCTTTTGTTGGTGCAATATACGAAAGATACAATACTTGTGTATATCACAAATATTGATATGATATATTATATAAATATCCAATTATAAAAAAGGTGAAATGATTACANTCTACGTAAAATATTAACAATGTATTAATAATTTATATTTGAAAACAAAATAATTTCTTTAACCTTATTCATTTTCTTCTTTGCATTATCAGTTATAAATCAATGATATATTGAATGATTTGTTTATCTTTATTACCATAAATCATCGAAAATTTTTGAATAGATCACCATTATTTGTAATTTATGATTATCAATAATTCAATATCTTATCTGAGAAAACCAAAGATTTTGTAAGAAAAACTATAAATAAGAAATAAATAAGTATGTTTGTGTGTGTGTGCGTGTACATATTATATTATATTTATTATATTATATATATAATAAATTACGTTATAATACTGTCTTCGTTCTTGTTTTAGTGTTCAATTTTTTTTTGGTTTTTACTTGGTCGAAAAGTAATTGCTCTTTCTTCTCAATAGATGGACATAACTTCATTTTAAATCGCAAATTCATTGTGTTATCCGATGTCTGATTGTTTCAGAAAAAGAAAATACTCTTGTTAACGATTGTTTGTTCAGCGTCGATTTAGAAAGTGGAAATCATATTTGTCACAATGTTGTGCAAACTCTGGTAAAAAATTACCAGAATTGGTTTGCTAAATTTCACTACTAATGAGGTCAGTATCAAATCATTCTTTGAACTCTCTTTTTGTCGAGAAAAGGGATGAGAATCTGCCTGAATCTACCCTTTGCAAACGACGATCGAACAAGTTGACTTACACATATCACTAAAGTTTTTGTTTCTCATTCAAAAGTTCACCTTTCTTTCGCACGTTGCAAAAAAAGACGCAGGCAAACCTAACATAAGCTTGATGCCTACTCTTCTTAACAATCGTCTTGCAAGAAAGGATTGACTAAATAAACAAATTAATCAGGTTGATATCGAGACGTTTGAAAATATATCCAGTGCGATGAGTTTCCAGTTGAAATACTCCTCGGAGCCTCAAACGTGGAAGTTCAGAAGCTGCCGAGGCTAATACCTTATTTGCAACTCGATAGGGGACGATCCAATTATCTCGTCGAAATTTCTTCTTCGACTTTAATTACCACCTTTCGCCGAGTAATTGTATTCACTTCGACGAGATCCGGGGATCTTACGCCTGGCACGCGAAATTAAACTTGGAAAGTTTTACATCGGCGCGTCACGCGTCGTCTTTCAAGCGAGCGGCCTGAAACAACTCGAATCAAAGCTTCGCAACGAACGCCTAGCGAACTTCCGCGATTTCGCTGACCGCGCTTCTAATCCCCCCGGTTGCTTCCTATTGCACAATTTCGCATAGGTATTACGACATTAACTGGCACGGTAACCAAACTATGCTTCCCATCGTACATGGCTCGTGGTGATTAACTGCGTCTCGCGCTACACCTCGCCACGCTGAATATAAATAAGAATATTAACTTCTCCCCTTTCTTAATGGCGGAGTCACGCTCAAGATCAAAGCGACGGCGGTTAACCGGTCTCTCGATCCTCTGAATTAACGACCAACTTACCTACGCTTCAACTCGTACAACACCATGGGCTTGCAAAGAAGTACACCAGGGCGCAGTTTCTCTTCGTTGTTGCGACACGAGATCTTGCGTCTTGCATTGAAAAATCGTGTTCTCTTTTTTTTATTTCATCTCGATCGATAATTTGGACAAATGTCAACTCGTAGGGCACTTTATTCATATAAGAAAGATCGAAGTGATGTTCGTCACTTATGAGTTGTTTTTTTTTTTTTTTTTTTTTTTTTTTTTTTGAAAATGGCACTTTGCTCTTAAATCGAGACATTTAAGAATGTTAACGTCTCTGTCGTTACTTACTTGCTTTGATTGCATATTGTTTCGAAGCTAAAGGATCGCGTGGAATTGTAATTAATTCAATCACCAACTTGATTCTTTTGAAATAAAAGACTCATATCTCGTCTCATAGCATCATCTCATGAACGATTTTGCGACTCGATCGGTGTCTTGTCGGTAACAACGAAGGGTTTAAAAGTTTTTCACTCAATAAACAAGCAAGACGTTTGCTGGATTACTTTGTTATTCTCACTGACTCTTTCTCATGCTTGTTACAAAAATTCAAAAGTGAAAAATTATATAGGAGGTATGTCAAATAACTCTGTACTGGTCGTACAGAATATAACGATTGTTTTAAAACAGTGCTTTCTAGACTGAAACAATTTTCTGCGGAGATTCTACCTTTTTAATTACATTTTCAAAAAATATGGACCAACGATTGTATTAAAACACAATGCTTTCTACAACGAAACAATTTTCTGCGGAGATTCTATCTTTTTAATTATATTTTCAAAGAATATGGATCAACGATTGTATTAAAACACAATGCTTTCTACAACGAAACAATTTTCTGCGGAGATTCTATCTTTTTAGTTACATTTTCAAAGAATATCGATCTGCGTGAAAAGAGAACTTTGAATCGACCTCGATTTTTTTTTTGGAGTGATATTATCGCCGACCATGCCGCAGAATTTTATCGCGAGAGGAGAAAGACCTGTCCTTTGCGCATCAAAACAAATTGTACCGAACATTTACAATTTCCAAAAATCGGAGGGAAATTGTTCTTCGAATCCTCCGAATAATATATTTTTTCTTTTTTCTTTTTTTTACTACGAGTCACGAATTTCTCACCAATAAAATTTCTCGTCTCGTATGTTACGTCGACGAGAAACAAGACGCTCGTAGCTGGTAGAGAAGGACGAGAGAACGCGAGGTCGTTAATCAGAAATTTTTGTCCGACCGTCGAGCTTGATCAGCGACTCGGCTTTCGAAGACAATGGCGACGTCTCGATATACCGCGACGAAATGGCTCCTCGTCGGGGGAAACGTTTATAGAGAAAGGGACCGCGTCGAGTGAATGGCGGAGAGTTTTATTCCCGCGTCACGGCCGCGTCTGACCAAGCTGTAACTACTGCCGAGACAGCGAACCGCCTGGGAGGGCCATTTTAAAAGAGAGCCAACCGGCAAGACGGAAGAGAAAAAGAACGGCGACCCTGGTGAAAGGGAGGGAGGAGGACGACCTGCGAGGGGGAGAGAAAAGATAAATATCGCGATAAAGACAAAGAAAATACGAGCTTCCCGCGGTGTTTCCGTGTTCATATAACGCCGGAGAGCGAAACGTTGATATTCATGGCCGTGGAAAAGAATATCACCCCTTCTCCTTCCGTTCGTAACTTCTCGGACAGGAGCCACCGAATTTCGGCTAAAATGCCGAAATATTAATAACGTGATAGTAGGTATAGTAGTTAGTTAGTTAATAGAAACTGTGTATTAATTGAAAGATTTGTTATTAAGGTACGTGGTATTAGGGCATAGGAATGTTGTCGTTGAATAATATAATATAAACGTTTGACGATATAACAGATTGTTTATTAATAAAATGTGTGCTAGTCGAAAGATACGTGGTATTAGAGGATAAAATTGTTGTCGTTAAATAATTTAATGTAAACGTTTAACGTGATAGTTGTTTCTTAATTAAACGTGTGCTAGATCTGTCATCGTTAAATAATAGAATATATACTGTGTACTACTTGAAACTTTTAAATAATATAATATAATGTGTGTACTAGTTGGAAGATCCTTAAATAATATAATATAAACGTTTAACGTGATAGTGGTTTCTTAATCAAACGTATGCTAATTGAAAGATCTGTCATCGTTAAATAATAGAATATATACTGTGTACTACTTGAAATTTTTAAATAATATAATATAATATGTGTACTTGTTGGAAGATTAAATAATATAAGATAAACGTTTAACGATGTGATAGTTGTTGTTTCTAAATAAAATGTGTGCTAGTTGAATGGTTTGTTATCATCGAATAATAAATATAATATAATATAATATAGTAGTTGAAAGATCTGTATTACGAAAGATATTAAGTCTTAAAGATTGTTATCGTTAAATAATACAAAAACGTTTGAATTAATACATCTGCTATGAAATGCAACTGATTGAACCAATCGCGACATTTTTTCACAGTTCGTTGAAATTCGTCCCAAATTTTTTGCAATTGTTCTCGTAGAGTTTTTTGTTTTTCAATTTTGGACATTTAACTTTAGTTTCCTGATTTAATTATGGGGGAAATAAAAATATTTCTTCTATGATAACAGGCTAGCTAGCTGTTAAAATATAATTATCAAATCCTGAATCCAAGCCATATTATCATATTCATTACTAGAACGATCAATTTCATAATTTTTATTAGACATTTAGGACGACTTTTAGAAATATATAAACGATTTTGCTTGCGCGCTCCATTGTATTACAAAATCTTTCTACTACGTTTTTTTTTTTTTTTTCAATTTAACGTCTACGTTAAATTGAAAAAATTTTATATTTCAATCGTCGATGGTTCAAGCGTTAAATATTACTGAATGAGGGGGGGAAAAAAGTATGCTAGCACGGTGTTTGAAAGTGGCCGCTTAAATTTCAAATTAATTATAATAACCGAGAACCTCGGACGCATGTGCGTCCGTTTGAACTTCGAAACGTTTGTCCGAGCAAAGTTAAAAAGTTAATTAAAGCGAGATACTAATTAAACACCTGGTTCGACGTGTTTCTCTTAATAAAGGGGTCTGTGGAAGTGCCTCCCGACGTTATTGGAAATTACGCCGGAGCCGGACGAGATGGTGATGGTTCGCGACCGCCCACCTCCCCCTCGCGAGAAACTTGCAGCGAGAGAGAAGCGCCGGGACCTTTATTCGTGACCTATCGAAACTTCGCGTGCACAAAATTTACAAACTCGGTCGCGTTCATCATTGGTTGCCAGAGGGTCGAACAATGCCGGCGCGTAGCCGACCGACGAGATTATTCGAATACAGGGTTGCACAATGCTTTTCCGTGCAGGGGAAAGAATCGAAGCGAGAAGATTGAACGAGAAATTAAAACAAAGGTGGCTGGCCCCCGACAGAGCCACGCTCAGGTTTAATACTTGCACCGTCGCGTACGATGGCTGCGCAGTGATTTACATCGGGCACGACACAGAGGAAAAGGTGAAACGACGAAACGAAACTAGACGCTGCGCTGTTTAACCCGCGTCGACGAGATACAACAACCTAGCAGATTTTCTACAGCAATGAACAAAAGTGCTCGCACGAAGAAAACTGACAGATTCTTTAAACCACTGTTTAAACTTCGCGAAACTACAATCGTACAAAAGTCCAGTTGGCCTATACTTTAGAGCGTGAAACAAACCTCCGTTTCGTTCACCTTGAGTTCTTTTAAAAATTTTCTCGCATAACGCAACAGATGAGAAAGGAAGGATTCTGTTGTCGAACATTGTAAAAATTGCTGAACAATTGTTTTCATAGCAAGATTTATCATTTATCTTGAAGATTGAAGTCTTCCCTTTATGACTCGCTTCGCAAACCTTCTTTTTTCCAAAAAATTTTTTTACACATCATGCAGCAAATGGAAAAGGGAGGATACTTTTGTTGTCGAAAATTGTAAAACTTTGAACGCCTTCAAAATTACTGAACAATTTTTTTCATGGCCAGATTTTCCATTATCTTGAAGACTGAAGTCTTTCCTTTATATCAATCTATTAAAACTTACTGTGTGATTTTTTTCTCTTTTTTTTTTTGCCATTTTATTAACACTGAACGTCAGAGTTAAAAATTCGAGAAATTCTGAAATTTTTCCACTTAACTATAATGTTTAAAGTTCAATAACAGTGGCGCGAAAAAAGTGGTGCAGCAAGAGGTCGACACAAAGAGGAGACTTCGATCTTCAAAATCACGATGGACATAGTGATAAAAAAATTTTTTTGAAGTACTAGTTTTCGGAAGTGTGATCAATTTTTACAATCGTCGAGAACAAAAGTGTCTTTGTTTTCCCACTTGCTACATCATGTAAAAGCATCTCTGAAAAAACCGGATGTAACATTGTCAAAGTGGAAGCTTCACACTTCAAAATGATGCAAACTAAATATACGACATTTTTCTATGAATTTGTAACAATTTAAAATATAGACAATTTTTCAATTAAAATCTGCTAAAATAAATCTGTAATTATTTTATTATATATGACGAAGAAATTAAAAGGAATAATTTTTAAAACATAATGAAAAAATCATCTTTAAACTCAAATTTAATTTAAAAATGAAATTAATTTTTTCATGTATTTATGATGTTGTATTAAAAAAAAAATAAGAAACTTTTGGCCCACTCTGTATATTGATCGAAAGTGGTCGAAACATTATAATAACAATGGTAAACCAATGATGACTGTGACAAACGACGATTACAACTGTGATTTTTTATCGAGTAATAATAATAATAAATAACTGAATAAATAATAACAATGATGCACGTTCATTTTTCATCTGAAAAAAGTTTTTAAACAGAAAGTGAACGATTTTATATTTGACAGAAACATTTGTGGACGATAATAACAATTTTCACGGATTACAAAATAATAAATAATTAAGTGAATAACAATAAATATTCACCTTTCACTTAAAACCAAAAAAAGGGTTTTAAAAAAGGAACGAGTTTAGAAATGAATCATCGATGATGATTTCAATTCTGTTGATAATGAAAATTCAGATACAAACGAAAAACTGGAAAATATTAATCTCAGGTGGTTCGAAACCAGAGATAATTGATTAATCCATAAATAATTTGAATTTTTGTTCTGACGACAATGATGATAATAATAATAATAATTATAATAACAATAATAACCGGTCAGTGGAAGATATTCAGCCGAAATTGGAAAACTTTGAAGATAAATGGCTTGTTAATCCCAAATAACGTTTGGGGATTATTTATTTGAAATACATTCTCGTCAGTCTGTACATACTCACATTAATACATATTGAACTGTTATATGATACGTACTAAATATTGAAGCTGTTATAATTTTGTAAAAAAAAAATTGTATAAAATTTGGCTTCTTTTAAAGCCTCCTTGAAGCCTCTACATTTTCAAAACGTGTCATTTGTTTTATTCTAGAATGTGTTTGCATCACGTAGCAATAACTGGATAGATAAAAACACTCCTATACCCAAAAAATGTTATAAACTGTCATAATATGTCTAGAAACATTGAACAAATTTTTTCACGACTGACTGTAAATACATATAATGGATTCGAAGATTGAAGCCTCCCCTTTACAACGATCCTCGCTATTTTATCGAACTCGAACGACGAAAATTCAAGAAATCGTAACCCTTTTCGTCCTTACGTTTCAACTCCAATAAATTGACAAACAAAAATCGTACATTATATTATTTCGTCGCCATTACAGATTCAGTTCATGAGCAAAATTGTTTTCACATACCACGTGCCAATTTAAATCATTTTCGAGAAAGGGAGTAAAAACACGCATTTCGAGAGCAGAGAATCCAAGTTTTAAAAGCAACCAGAACTCATTATTGTACGATTCCTCCGTTCTATTTAAACGAAAAGTTCGATTATTCCCTTTGGTCCATTTTCCAAAATTATTACACAACAGTTTGCTGCGAGTCGGACAAGCAACGTGAACCGAGGCTAGAAGTCTTTGACCTTTAACTGCCGCCGATGAATTCATCAGAGTGGATCGTTTACGGGTCCGAGTCCTCCTTCGGCGAACTCCATCGCGAAAGGTGATTAATTCCGGCAATAAACAATTAATTAACGTCGGAATTATAGTACATCGCCGTAGGAGCCGGCCGTGCTTCTTCCCACCCTCGTTCTTCGTCCTGCCGCCCGAACCTACGCAAACATATTTTCGGGCGAAGTATCGCAGGCTCCTTTTGCCAGGACGATAATTAAACACGCTGCTAGGCGGATTAACGGTGAGTTACGCGATGGCGGGGTGGGGGCCCGGCTTTTAATTGACGCTGCTCGAATATTAAGTAAGTTGTTAGGGTGGAAGAAGCCCAGAAGTGGCAAAACCAAGGTAATACCGTATTTCGGTGAGAGATTGCCTCGCTCCGAGTGATTTAACGCCGTATAATCTGCAGCGTGTTTCTTTTTCGTTTCCTTTTTTTTCCCTTCTTCTTCTTCTTCTTCTTCTTCTTCTTCTTCTTCTTCTTCTTTTTCTTCTTCGTCTCTCGTTCCGCTTTTTTTCAAACCGGAGCTAGGCTGATTATAGCTCGTGCATTCGCGGACGCGTTTGAGTCATTAACTTGTCCTTCGCTCTTCATTTTCTGTTCTTTTTAATTAATTTATTTATTTTTATAATCTATTATTTAATTATTATAAATATTATAAATACTTCTTCATATTATTATAAACAATATTTTTTTATTTATTATCTATTATTTAATTATTATAAATATTATAAATATTTTTTATATTATTATAAATATTATTTTCTTATTTATCATATATTATCTATTATTTAATTGTAATAAATATTATAAATATTTTTTATATTATTATAAATATTATTTTCTTATTTATTATCTATTATTTAATTATTATAAATATTATATATTTATTTTATAAATATTTTTTATATTATTATAAATATTATTTTCTTATTTATTATATATTATTTAATTATTATAAATATTATTTTTTATTTATTATCTATTATTTAATTATTATAAATATTATAAATATTTTTATTATTAATTATTGAAATTTTTATGATTAATATAAATTTTATATAATAAATTTATATTAATAATAAATTTATTATAAATTTTAATTATACTTTTAATATTATTTATTATAAATATTATTTTTTTATTTATTATCTATTATTTAATTATTATAAATATCATAAATACTTTTTTTATATTATTATAAATATTATTTTTTTTATTTTATTTACTATTTAATTACTTTTTTTTAAATTTGTTTTTTTTTCCTTTTTCCTCTCTTTCTCTCTCTCTCTCTCTCTCTCTCTCTCTCTCTCTCCTTTTTTCTTTAAATCGAATCTGTCCTTTTCTCGCAAATGTTGGCGAAGGCGCTAAAAACACGGACGTGTTTCAAAACGGTTCGCTCCGCGGAAGGTGAAGCGACGAAACAGGAACGGCACGTTTAATAAAGTAGTTTTGAAAGTGACGTTAAAACGTTTTACACTGGATTTCCGCGTTTACAAAGAAATCTGGGCAACGGATGCCCGGCGAATTTTCGGCGGCGGCGCAATGGTACGAAATATCCTGGAACAACATCACCAACAAAACCTCGCGCGATCCGAATTGCCGAAAAGAAAGGAAAAAGTGACGTTCCTTTGTGTACGTGCGCATTTCCCGATGAAAGCGACGCGAGAATTCCACGGTGAG